CAGAGGCTGCTAGGAAATGGGGTCTTTAAAAAAAAAAAAAAAAATTGACCTGCTAAACTTAAAAATAAATAAAAATAAAATAAAATTTTTTTAAAATGCTCAAAAGCAAAGAAATAGACGTATGTGAAAAGACCAGTGTCATAGTGTACATATACTGACAAGGTGAAATTCGATGTAGGAAGGGCTAGATTTTCAAAGCGTATTTAATCTCTAGCTAAAGCAATATGGTTTACAATGAATATACAATGTTGACAGAAAAAAGAAGGAAATGTAGAATTTTTTCTTTTCTTTTTCTTTAAGATTTTGTTTATGTATTTGACAGAGAGAGATCACAAGCAGGCAGAAAGACAGGCAGAAGAGGAGGGGGAAGCAGGCCCCTGCTGAGCAGAGAGCCCGCGGCAGGGCTCGATCTCAGGACCCTGGGATGGAGCCCCGCATTGGGCTCTGCGCTCAGCGGGGAGCCTGCTTCCCACACCCCACTGCCTGCCTCTCTGCCTACTTGTGATCTCTGTCAAATAAATACATAAAATCCTTAAAAAAAATGCATATAGGAAAACACAAGGAAGAAATTAAAAAAAAAAAATGGGGAGGGTGTTAGGAAAAACACGACAATGTGGTATATCCAAGCCCTAACATCTCCACTGACGTATTAAACATAAAGAAACCAAATATTCCTGATAACACCAAAGTTTGCTTCATTATATTCCACTGGAATTTCCCTAGAGATAGAACTAAACCATGAGGATGAAACTGAAAAAAAGAAAACACAACAATCCCGGCAGTGATAACCAAGCAACGGGCAAGGCGCAGGAGGTATCTTACCGAATACTCTTTCACACTACAGGAGTTTTTGTCACTGTTACCAGGAGGGTTGTTTTCCCAAGATCTAAATGTACGTGATTCCATCTACGGCCATACCATCCTGAACGCACCCGATCTCGCTCAAATGTACTTGATTTCAGTAATCCATTTCATGGAAAGCATCATCTATGCTTGTGTGTGTACTTAAACACACATATGTAAACACACACATTTATTTTTCACCCACGAGACGTAACAAATATTTATCACAGAGGGTTGACATCACATTTAGAATTTTCATCTTCATTTTTAAATGTCTAACTTTCAGAAATATTTCATGGCTTGATTAATCCAATTTGATATTTGAAGTTGTTTGAATGATTACTTTCAGCACGGACTAGGTGACTTTCCAAAATTAACAAACGTCAGAAAATATTTATGTTTAAAAAATGGATTTGGAGGGACAGCTGGGTGGCTCAGTTGGTTAAGCGTCTGCCTTCGGCTCAGGTCATGATCCCGGAGTCCTGGGATCCAGCCCCGCATGGGGCTCCCTGCTCAGCTCTCTGTCTGCAGCTTCCTCTGCTTACTGCCTTCCCTCACTGACAAATAGACAAAATCTTAAAAAAAAAAAAAAAAAAAAAAAGATTTGGGTCCTTGGGTTCAAAGACATCGTTCTGCCAATATGACTACTTAAGGTGAGGTTTTCCCCCAATTGTTTTTTTTTTAATTTTATTTTAAAAGATTTTATTTATTCATTTGACAACACAGGGACACAGCGAGAGAGGGAACACAAGCAGGGGGAGTGGGAGAGGGAGAAGCAGGCTCCCTGCTGAGCAGGGAGTCCGACATGGGGCTCAATCCCAGACCTGAGCTGAAGGCAGACGAGACGCTTAAGGACTGAGTCACCCAGGTGCCCCTCCCCCAATTATTTTATATCCTTGATCGCTTCTGGCAGTAAGATTTCCTCACGGGTAATCGTCCCAGTTTGGTTACGTCCATCAGGACATCCTTCCTGCCCTTCAGCCCCCACCTCATCACCTTCCCAGTCAGTCGTTAAGTATAAATACTCAGGGCCAGTGCTTCCACATCTTTCCATATCCTTCCATGGAATGAATCTTTCTCTTTCCCAACAAGCTTAAGGTGTTATGGAAAGACGCAACTAACAGATTTAAAATAAGCTATCTCACTTACTGAACTCACACCATATATGTTAAAAGGCTAATGTGCAAAATTAATACCCATTCTAGGGCAGCAACAGAATGGAGAAATAGGACTGTGCTCCTCCATGGAGACAAAAATAGACTAAATTACCTTTTAGAATGTTCCAGAAGCCAGTTAGGAGAATACAACAGGCCCCAGGCAGGTAGGAAGGAAAAAGAGGCACATCGAAGAGACAAGGAGAGTTTGCGACACTTGCCCACAACCGGGGCTCGCCCTCCCTGGCTCGCCCTCCCTGGCTCTCCGCAGCAACACTGTGAGAGAACTCTCACCTCTCCTCAGGAGAGAACAATGAGTTGTCTATATAGTCACGATTCTTTCCAGCTACCTAAGAGACTTGTTTCTGTCATGCACCACATGGGACCCAGAGGGAATGAGAGCCCCTCTGGATGCAGTGTGGGGGCGGCTCAGACCGACAGTGAGCCTTTGTGCAAACACTGGAGAGACGACAGCACTGAAGACAGAGAGAGGAGGGGATCATGCACTCTGGAGCGGTAACCCCAGTGCCTTAAACTGGGAAATGACAAAAACTCAGACAAGACAAAGGCCCAGAACATGCGTGACAGGCCCCAGAATTACTATTATTTGTGTACTCCTAAAGAAAGCAAGTCCATAATTCTGGGCCCCCAGGCTGTTTTTTTAAATTCCCAAATATCAGTGCAAGTTCACACGGCATCAGAGAAACAGAAATATGTGTTCCAATCAGAGGAATGAAATACGTGTCCGAAACCGGCCCTAGGTTAGTAAGAATTATTAACTGCCAACAAACAAACAATGAATTGCCTGACAAAGAATTCTAATGACCGTCACAGAGCTGTCCACGGAGGCAGAAGAGAAAACAGGTAAATCAGTGGCATCCGGAAAACTACGCATGACCCAAATGCAAACTCAGAGACAGCAAGTGTAACAATAAGGAACAAAAAACCAGGGGCTGAAGAGTTCTGTCACTGGATTTGAAAGCGCACTAAGGGTCAACAACCACTTGATCAAGTAGAAAAAGGATCCGACCACATAAAAACCCCAGTTTTAAATTCTACGCTGACAGAAGCAAGGACATATGTGGGAAAGGACGGAGTCTAAGGGACTCATGGGACACCAACAGGTGGTCCATGTGTACACTAAGGGGACCCCAGAAGGAAAGAGTGACATATGTGGAAAAAAGATACAACTTCATGCTCGGTAAATTCTACACAAGACAAATCAAGACATGAACATAGCGATACGTTAAAATTAACTTATCAAAAATCACAGGTGTGGGGCACCAGGGCAGCTAGGTCGGTTAAGACCTGCCTTTGGCTCAGGTCATGATGCCAGGATCCTGGGACCGAGCCCCACGTAAGGATCCCTGCTCGGTGGGGAGCCAGCTTCCCCCTCTGCCTGCTGCTCCCCTGCATTATCTGTGCTAGGGAGCGTGCTCTTCCTGTTAAATAAATGAAATCTTAAAAAAAAATTCAGACACATTCTGAGGAAAGTAAAAGAAAAACCTAATGATTAATTTTCCATAAAGTAAAATTACATTTATTCATTTTTTTTTTAATATCGGATTTTACAGGCACCTGGTGGCTTAGTCGGTTAAGCAGCTGCTTTCAGCTCAAGTCATGATCCCAGAGTCCTAGGATTGAGCCCCACATCGAGCCTTACAGCAGGCTCCTTCTCAGCGGGGAGCCTGCTTCTCCCTCTGCCTGGCACTCCCTCTGCTTGTGTTCAGGCTCGCGCTCGCGCTCTCTCTCTCTCTCTCTCTCTGTCCAAAAAAACAAAAAAACAAAAAAAAAACAAAAAAAAACCCAAAAAACAATGGGGGTAGGGATTTTACTAATTACCTACCTCACTTCTTACAAAGCACATGCCCATGTCATACCAGGACTTTTGATCTAAAAATTGAGAGAGGAGGGGCGCCTGGGTGGCTCAGGCATTAAGCATCTGCCTTTGGCTCGGGTCATGATCCCAGGATTCTGGGATCGAGCCCCGCACTGGGCTCCCTGCTCAGCGGGAAGCCTGCTTCCCCTTCTCCCACTCCCCCTGCTTGTGTTCCCTCTCTGGCTATGTCTCTCTCTGTCAAATAAATTAAAAAAAACAAAAACAAAAACAAAAAGACTTTAAAAATGAGAGATGAATCTCCTATATAACTAATAAGTGAAAACGCACACGACAAAGTCAAAAGAAATTCCTATCATACAGGACAAAATTATAAAATGATCCAATTACTAAGAAATAAGGTAAGAACTGAGAATTTATTGTATGATACGAGTTCTGAGGTCTAAAGGTCCTAGTTCTCCTGTGGCATTAATTTAGGTAGGAATTCTAAGATACAAATAGATACGCTACATTATTTCACCAATGAGCAATGGAAAACAGAGTGATAATTTCTAATTTCAGTTCATACGAACAGAAATTAACCTCTGAAGTGAAAAAAGGATTCGATTTTTTAATTTTAGGGCGGTGCTTTGTTAGCAGATCAAATTACTGAGTCTCAATTTTGTACAATTAAGATTAAACCTGCCATCACACTGGAAAGCATAAAACAGAAAACATGGGATGTCTGTCTCCAGTGTTGCTGGAATTTCTGCCCCAAACCCCAACAGGCCTGCAACCACCCTGACACCGCTTTTCACAGGAGGCAAACAGAACGTACAAAAAGGGCTTAACATAGAGTTCCTCGGAAATAGGAGGACTTCCCAGGACCCTCACAGCAATGGAGAAGCTCTCAGATTATGGAGGCCCTCCCGCTCCAAGGGGAGTCTCCTGGCCCTCCCTATGGATGTGACAGACCATCACTGGAGCTGAAGGAGAATCCCTAGAGAATGTGAGAGCTTGATAACGGTGGAGAGCAGGTATCTCTTTGTGAGAAGGAGAAAACTATAACTAGGTTTTTCAAGATTATTTCCATTCAAGGTGAGCTACTCAAACCACATTTCAAGGTCACTGTCCTCCTCCACATGTGGGCCTCACCTCTGTCATCTGCTTCATTCATTCCCACCTACCTGGGTGGAAGGCTACCGTCTTCTTTCTCTTCAGATTCCAAGGTTCCTTCTTTTGCTCCAAAAAGGAGACCAGGTCTGGCTTTGACACAATGAGACCTGATTATTAGAAAAAAGGAATGAACATGAGCACTGCTGGAGATTTTCAATCTAGTATCGTGCTCAGTAGAGAAGAAAAGACATTTGTAACATCTAGAAAATGACTTCCCAAATGCTACTGATCAACAGCCCCTTTAGAAGACACAGGTGGGGGGCGCCTGGGTGGCTCAGAGGGTTAAGCCTTTGCCTTCAGCTCAGGTCATGATCTCAGGGTCCTGGGATCGAGCCCCATGTTGGGTTCTTTGCTCAGCAGGGAGCCTGCTTCCCCATTTCTATCTGCCTACCTCTCTGCCTACTTGTGATCTGTCAAATAAAAAAAAAAAAAAAATCTTAAGAAGACACAGGTGGGGGTGCCCTGGTGTTTCGGTCGGTTGGCCGTCTGGTTCAGGTCATGATCCCACAATACTGGGATGTAGTCCCACATCAGGCTCCCTGATCAGTGGGAAGTCTGCTTCCCCCTCGGCCCCCTCCCCTGCTCATGTTCCCTCTCTCAATTGCTCGCTCTCTCTCTGTCAAATAAATAAATAAAACCTTAAAGCAAAACAAAACAAAACGAAAACAAAGGAAGGAACAAAACCCTGAGCGGGGTTTGGGAAACCTGAAGGAGTCATTCTCACCCAGGAAGAGGAGGTGTCCGTAGTTCTCCAACATCACATCCCTGTACAGTTGCCGCTGAGTGTGGGTCAGGCGTCCCCACTCCTCCAGGGAGAATTCTACGGCCACATCCCTGAATGTCAGCAGTCCCTGTAATGAATACCACAGTCACCAAGTGGCCACTGACACAGTTCCTGATGGTCCGTCCCACCACCGAGACTAAGACTTGACCTTCCCTGCTTACCTGCTTGTCCCCTGCGACGACCGTCCCACATTTTACTTAACCTCTTCTTTCCACCTTATCTTTTACTTTATTCAAACCCCCAGGCACAGTGTCCTTCCAGGGAAACAAACTATGCAACACAGATTACTAACTGCCCTGAGGAAGACCTTGGGTCAGCCCACTTTGACCTTAAGCCGTCCCCTCCTAAGACACCTAAGCAGACCGACCAAGGAGTAATCCGAGGAGTGATCTACAGTTCCCTTAATCTCCTGATAATATGAAATCTCCACCCAAGGAGGAGCACAAAGCTCATTACAGAACATCAAAGTATGTAGTACTCTTGGGCCACCTAATGCCTAGCTCTACACAAGATAAGACTCCACTTTCTGAACATCTGCCCTAAACCCAAAAAATACGAAATCCTTCCTTCTGCTTCTCTGAGTGTCTGCTTTGGAAGTTATTCCCTCCGATCTTTTTTTTTTTTTTTTTAAGATTTTATTTATTTATTTGACAGACAGAGATCACAAGTAGGCACAGAGGCAGGCAGAGAGAGAGGGGGAAGCAGGCTCCCCGCTGAGCAGAGAACCCGATGTGGGGCTCGATCCCAGGACCCCGAGATCATGACCTGAGCCCAAGGCAGAGGTTTAACCCACTGAGCCACCCAGGTGCCCCCCTCCAATCTCTTTACATGCCGCAAATCTGCGTTAACAATCCCACCTGCTGTAGTTTCCATCTGTGATTCCCCAAGGAGTGAACTCCTTTTCTCTGCGTTGTATCTCAGAACTGCTTCTGGCTTAGGTGAGTTTCCTCCTCTATGCATCAGGGAATTTTTAACACAGTAACATGCTCTAATGTGTTCTCTACGTTTGAGGTAAGAGGACGGCATATGATCCGGAAAACCATTATAAATACTGTGTATTTATCCAAGATAGTTTGTAAAATGAAGTTGTCAACAGAGACCCAACAAGTTACTGAGTACTGTATTATGTCATACATTATAGGCTGTGCCTTTTTCTTTTCCTTTTAGAGATCTTATTTGAGAGAAAGAGAAAGAGAGTACAAGCTGGGTGAGAGGGCCAGAGAGAGAGGGAGAAGCAGGGTCCCCGCTGAGCAGGGAGCCCGACATGGAGCTCGATCCCAGGACCCTGAGATCATGACCTGAGCCGACGGCAGACGCTCACCCGACTGACCCACTCCGGTGCCCCTAGTTGTGTCTCCTTCTTAGGTGGAATGTTTTTGTGGGTGACAAATGTACTGATTACATTAAAAGGTGAATCAGAATTTCACAACAGTGCACTGGAGATCTGATTAAAATGCAGATTCTGTTCAGGAGTTCTGGGGTTAAACGGGAGTCTGCATTTCTAAAAAAGCAGTAGCCTGTGGGCCCCAGTAAACATTCTTTAATAACAAAGAGGTAGAACTCCAAGGCAAGAATTCGTGGAGGACAGGGAACTGAACGGGTTTTATCACAATTACAGGTTCTACTGGAATGGCAAGAGAGCCAAAGTCAGTCCTTTCTCAGCACATTTACTCTCTTTACTAGAGAGCATCTAACAGTTTTTCATAAATTCACAGAAAATATATAATATTACCCTAAGACAGCAAACACATTTTTCTACTATTATGAGAATATTTTGTCAAACACCCAGTAACATGGACGGGATCAGGTTTTCACGCTGGTTGACCCGGCGTGGATCTAGAACGACAGCAGGTCAACATACAGGGAGAAACTTAAAGCCGTGCTCACCGCAGGCGTCAACCCTGAGAAGAGTGATGAAAACGTGAAGAGATCCACACACATCTGACCTACCATGTCACACCCGTGCACACATCGTACATTCAGAAAGTAGTTACACACACTGGAAGTGACAGAGTGCAAAACTGTCATGGTGACTGATTTAAGAAACATTTTCAATGACACAAAGCTCTTTGTGGATAATGCTGCGTCTGTCTTTAATTCACACTATCAACACAAACATCTTGAATTCTATAAATAAAAGAGCTATGATTTCTGAGTCTACTATGATGAGGGCTAGAAGCAGAAACAAGTTCACCGTTAGCCAGAAGGCTGGCCAAGAACCCACCTCATTCCGGTAAGGATCAAATAAGGGCTGCTTGCTGTGTTTTTTGTTTTTTAAAGATTTATTTATTTATTTACTTGACAGAGAGAGAGAGAGAGAGATCACAAGCAGGCAGAGAGGCAGGCAGAGAGAGGGGGAAGCAGGCTCCCCGCTGAGCAGAGAGCCCGATGTGGGGCTCGATCCCAGGACTCTGAGATCATGACCTGAGCCGAAGGCAGCGGCTTAACCCACTGAGCCACCCAGGCACCCTGTGGCTGCTGTGTTCTTAAAGGTCTTGTGACGGCCTGTACATCTCACTGATAGTTAATATCGAACTGAGTAAGCACCAGAGAAATCTTGCAAACAATTTCTACTTTTACAAATAGAAATTCAAAGAAACACTTAGGATCTAATACTCCCCACATGTCCCCCCCCCTTGCACACCTCACAGGGAGCTACCAGCCTTCTGCAGGCTGCAGTGCATCTTTTTCTGCTCACAGGTCCTGTCCACTTGCTACTTAAGTAAAATGACCAACCGGAGCCTTTAACAGTCCCAAGAATTCCTTCTTGACTGTTGAGCTCAATGACCCCACAGCATCGCATTTCATGGAAATCTTTCGTTTCCATCATCACTTGTGCTCTAGTATTATTTCAGGATTTTAAGACATCAAACTTGTTAATTATGCGATTCTTGTTTTCTTTTTCCGAAAATACAAAGAAGTAAACAGAAGAGTAGGTTTGTGACAGGAGCGTGGAGTAAAATAAAAACCTATGGGATAGAGCTCGGACTAAATCAGAACCTCCAGTCCTGGAAGTTACTGTGTCTAGTACACCAAAGTACGAGACTTCATGGTCCAGCGGAAACTGATGTGACGTGGGCCAGAAGCCTACAGTCCAGAAACAATTACTGAGATATTTTCAGTGCAAAACCTGTTTGTTGTTGTTCAGTAGGCTCTGTGCCCAGGATGGAGCCGAGAGTGGAGAAATTTGAACTCAGGACCCTGAGATCAGGAGCTGACATGAGATCAAGAGTCAGACTTAATCCACTGAGCCACTAAGATGCCCTGTTTTCAGTAAGGTTTGGTGACAGGGCCTGTAGGCAGAAAGAGCCCCAGAGGGGCGCCTGGGTGGCTCAGTGGGTTAAAGCCTCTGCCTTCCGCTCAGGTCCTGGTCCCAAGGTCCCGGGATGGAGCCCCACGTCCAGCTCTCCGTTCAGCAGGGAGCCTGCTTCCTTTCCTCTCTCTCTACCTGCCTCTCTGCCTACTTGTGACCTCTGTCAAATAAATAAATAAAAATCTAAAAAAAAAAAAAGCAATCAAGCAAGCCTAGTGGCAGTGTGATTGTGAGGAACCACTGCCAGTACACTTTCAAGTTAGTGAGGGTAGAGGCGAAGGAAATTTTTTTTTTTAAGATTTTATTTATTTATTTGACAGATCACAAGTAGGCAGAGAGGCAGGCAGAGAGAGGAAGGGAAGCAGGCTCCCTGCTGAGCAGAGAGCCCGATGTGGGGCTCGATCCCAGGACCCTGGGATCATGACCTGAGGACCCTGGGATCATGACCTGAGCCGAAGGCAGAGGCTTTAACCCACGGAGCCACCCAGGTGCCCCAGAGGCGAAGGAAATTTAAAAGGGATTTTCATGTTAGGCTAAAAAGGACTTCCAGGAGCCCGGAGGTCTGGCTTTTGTCAAGTTAAGGTTGCATTTGGCTCTAGAGGCAAGTAGTAAGGAAATTTCACTTCTTTTGTCTTTGCTCTCCTCAACAGAAACTACAAGCAAAAAGAAACTCAAGAGAAAGTCTCCAGTTTAAATAGGATGGTTCAGCACACTGCTCAGTAAATCCATCGCAGATCCTTACAAGTGATAAGGGAGGGAAATATGAACAATATAGGGGAGAAATGGGTCAGAGAGCACCAAGCCGATAAAAGTAGCATTAGCTGTAAGAAAACAAATTGATATCAGCGCCTAATCATGTGGGACAGAAAGAGGCAGAAGAAAAAGTATTAAATGTCCTTACTACCTACAGCCCACTGACAAGTTCGTCTAAACAGGCAGAGTGACATTCCTGTAGGAACTCAA